CAATCTGCATATTACTCTTTATTAGATAGGATAGAGGCCTGGTGCAGGGGTGGGGGCCAGCTGGTTTGCCCTGAAGAATGTCTGGGATCAGGGTGGGGGTTTCCTTGGGCTGTGGGGTGGCCTGAGCAAGGGGCCTGTAGTGGTGAAGCCAGCCATACCCCCCAGCAACCCAAGCAGAGGCCCTGGTATCTGGAATTTATTTACCTTCTACAATTGAAACTTTGTAGCCTAGAGCGGAGCCAAGCTTCCTGCTTGTTACATGGCCGGCAGCCGTTTCTTTTGGGGTTGTGTATCTTCTATAATTGAAACTTTGTAGCCTGGAGCAAAGGCCTGAGCAGGCCAGGGTGTGTAGAAAGCTTGGCTTCCTCCATTGCCGGGGCAACCCTAACCTCCTGCTCTTTCAAGCTCTGTGGCTGCCGCCATTTCTGTTTGGATTTGTTTACCTTCTATAATTGAAACGTTGTATCCTTGAGTGGAGGCTTCGGCTGGCTAGGGCAGGCAGAAAGCTTAGCTTCCTCTATTGCCTGGGAAATCAAGCCTCCCTCCTGCTCTCTGTGGCTGTAGCCATCTTGGTTGGGTTTATTTGCATACTCCCTCTGATTGTCTGGTGGGCCTGACTTGTGGGGGTAGCGGAGTGATGGTTAATTTGCATATTGCTATTTTATTAGGTAGGATTGTCAGGAAAAGCTAGTAATTTTAATGTCTGAGCTATCAGGCTGACTGACAAGTAGCAGTTACTAGATTTTACATTGTACCATTGAAGAGATATCTGTGTCTTCATATTTCTACCTAAGTGTCAGAATGCTCGAATCAATTTTACATTGTTAGAGGTTTTAGGAGAGGAATTGGAAAAATTATTTCCGAGTACCAGGTCTGCTGCGGGGAGTCCTGGCTCCTTCCCTTCCTGAATTGGAAGGGGGCTTGATCTGGGGGCAGTCCATAAAATCTCAGGAAACAGATCCCCATAAGCCAGAGCGCATGGAAAGGAGGCTGGCCGTGGGTCAATCCTTTATTTATTTTTTAAAAGTTTTTTTTTTTTTTTTAATTATCTTGGGGGAGGGGAAGGGAGAGAGAGAAAAACATCAATTTGTTATCACACTTATTTATGCATTCACTGGTTGATTCTTGTATGTGCCCTGACTGGGGATCAAACCCACAACCTTGCATATCGGGATGATGCTATAACCAACTGAGCTACCTGGTCAAGGCTGGGCCAGTTTTTTAAAATGTCAAATCCCCCAGGGACCTAAGCCACAATTCACTACGGACCTGGTTGTCTGGGACTGGTTGTGCCAATTGAGGAGATGACTAGAGTCTGAGGCTGAGAGAGGAGGGATTGCTGATGGTAGAACTGAACAGACATCTCCATAGCACATTTGCTTGGAGAAGTCACTTTGGGTGTTACCTTTGGCAGCATTCAAGAGAAAAGATTCTCCTACGCAAGCTGCTTCTGGCAAAAATTTCCATTAAGTGTTATAACTCAGCAGCATTCCATTTTAAGCCATAATCATATCTGTCTAGAAATATTCTAAGAATGTTTATTTTCACTTGAACATTCAGATTTCTAATGTTGATAAGAGGCTAGAGTTGAAGCATAATCTCACAGAGAAAGTTATAGGAAAAGAATCCATAAACACCTGAGAGTCCTGACAGGGCACTCTTTAGGCTGATGAGAGTAGAGTTGATTCAGAGATCGAGGAACAAAAGCGACGGTGGGTGGAACCAAAAGTTGAGAAGCTTGTTCAGAGGGCATCAGGGTCCTGAGAAAAGAAAGTGAAGCTCTTATGTACATTACAAGTTTGGAAAACAGAACTTAAGAAACCACTCAGTGCTTCCTATAATAATTCAAAACACTCTAAGGTCCCTCTTCCTAAAATGCAAGAGGTTGGTGGCATTTGAAAATTGAAAAGTAACCAATCAGAAAGGATATATGCACCCCTATGTTCATAGCAGCACAATTTACAATAGCTAGGATTTGGAAACAGCCTAGGTGCCCATCAGCAGATGATTGGATCAAAAAACTATGGTACATCTACATAATGGAATAATATGCTGCCATAAAAAAGAAGGAATTCTCATCATTTGAAGCAACCTGGATGGAACTGGAGGACATCATGCTGAGTGAAATAAGCCAGTCAATGAAAGAGAAACACCACATGACCTCACTCATTTATGAATAATAAAGAACATTATAAACTGATGAACTAAAAGATAGATATAGAGACAGTAAAGCAACAAACAGACTGTCAAATTACAGCTGGGAGGGTAGGGAGATCTCGGGGAGATAATAGATCAACTGAAGGACTTGTATACATGCATATAAGTACATCCAATGGACACAAAACTCTGGGGAGGGAGGACATGTATGTGTGTGTGGGGGTGGGAATGGTAAGATATATACATAGATAATAATTTAATAAAAAAATAAAATAAAAAAAGAAAAGTAACTTGTAACCTTCAGTCCTGTGAATGCCACCCTTGTAGGACTTTCACATCAGGGAAAGGAGAGAGAGTTAGGAAGCTTTCAATTTTTTCAAGCTCTTCAGGTTTCAGTCTTTACATCTAATTCTTTCATTTGCTTTGGTGTGAGGTAGGGATTTAGCTTTTTCCCATTCTTTTCAGATAGCACTTAGCAAGTTATCCCAGCATCATGTCTTGAGTAAGTCTAATCTTTCCTCACTGATGATTAAAACCTTCCCCAAGCAAAATTGGACTGAGGACACACCTGCTGTAGGGCCTCAACTGACCACACTTTTGTGTGCCTGCGTTTTACCTCTTTGTGTAACATGTCTGAAGTGAACCTGTGGTCAACCCTATCCTACCACCTAAAAACAGTGCAAAAGGGAAAACACCCACTCAGTTATTTTTCAGTCCAATTCCACATGTCAATAACCATCTATCCCCTCGCAACACCCATATGTAAACCACCACCAAGTCCTGTTGACTTTAGCTGCTGAAGTACCTCTTAACTCATCACCACCACCACCCTGGGTCCGGAAGGCCTCCCTTGTGCCTGAACCATGTTGTAGCCTTGTAATTAGTCTCTCCACACTTACTCTCACCTTCTAGCCAATTTATTTTCCACATCACAGCCAGAATAATCTTTGAAAGCAATCAGATCTATAGGGCACACATTCCATTTCACTGTCTGCCTATAGCATTGCATACAGAGGTAATGCTCAATCTATGTTTATTTTGTTTATTATATATTATTTTAACTTGAAAAGCACATAACTATATTTGGAGAAAAGGGGAAAAATCATCTATAACGCTAGCATTCACACTCAACTATTGTTTTAATATTACCTGTTGGTCTTTTTATAATATATGAATTTTTAACATTGCCATAATCACAGTGTACATAACATTTTGTGTCCTGCTTTTATTCCCCTACGTAACCTTGATGTTTATTGATCATTATATTGTGTATGAGCCTAATTTATTCAATTCAACAAGCATTTATGAAGGATTTCACTTTGCCAGTCATCTTCCTATGTGCCTATTGCCATCAAAGAAAATACACAGATATTGTACCCTGTAATAATAGAATATTGTAATTCTGAAGCTTTTAGTGATATTTTAACTTTACAGATATATTGATTTTGTGACATCTGTTCATCTCAGAATGAAGACTATGCAAGACTTCTCCATTTGTTTAATAACTTCTTTATTTATTCAACAAATTTATTAGGGCTTACTGCTTGCCAGGCACTGCTCTCTGTACTGGAAATACATTAGTGAATCCAACAAAGTGTCTGCATCCTGGTGAGAGAAGACAGACAATGAGTGAATGCATGCATGAATGAATAGATGAGTAGGAGAGAAAAAAAGTTAGGTGATAGGGATGGCTAATGGTGTTGGGGAGGGGCTGCTCTTTCACAAGGTCAGGAAGGCTCTCAAATGGTGATGTTTGAGCAGAGACCTAAATAGCGTGTAGGGTGAGCTGTGCAGCTGTCAGGGAGATTTTTCCTGGCAGAGGGTCAGCAGGTACAAAGGCCCTGTGGTGAGTGGTGAATGTCTGCATGGAAAAGCAAGGAACCAGTGAGGAAAGAAGGTGAACAGGAGCTGAGGTCAGTGAGTTGGGGGTGGAATCCTGAGGAGTTTAGAGTGTCTTCCAGGCCATGGTAAGGCCTCTGGCTTTTCCTCCAAGTGAATGGGAAGTAGTGGAATAGTGACATGCACTGTCTTGTGCTTTCATAACATGCCTTCGTTCACCAACTTTCTCTGTGCCTTCTGGGCCACCTTGGGGATGACTCTCTTTGTACCAGAACCTGTAAACTTCCTTTTAGACACACATGATGCAGCCACAATGCCAAGTCCATACTCCTTATGCATAAATGTGCAGGCAGGTAGTCACCCCCTGAGGTGTCACAGATTCAGATTTGGTAATCTGAATTTAGCCAAAAAATTTTACATATTTCACGCACTTGAAAAAAATTATAATTGAATTTCTCAAAAATTATTGGCTGATTGATTTGAGAGAGAGAAAGGGAGAGAGAACAAGTGAGAGAGAAACATTGATTTGCTATTCCACCCATCTATGCATTCATTGGTTGCATCTTGTATGTGCCCTGACCAAGGATCAAATTCACAACCTTGGCATATCAGGATGATGCTCTAACCAACTGAGCTACCCAGCCACGACTGATAAATTTCTCATTTCTTTATCATTTGTTCCTTTGAGACAATTTTCTTTTCTGAAGAGAATGACCAAATGTATTTTTCAGACTGTATAAAAAACTTATTCCATTAAGGCTTACTATCAGTTTTGCAATTATAAAGCATGCCTCAACTCCTGACATTCTAGAAATCAGCTTTTGTTTTTAGAGGGGAAGAGTTAGTTAACCTAATTATAATCTTCCTTGTGTTGCTCTATGGTTAGATCTGTCACATGCCCAAGTTAGATCCCATTAGTAGGCTTAAAACATTTATTTATGAAAGAACAAACTGTTACAGGTTGCTTGGGATAATTGATTTCTTTTGTTTTCTTTTTGTTACAGGAGGAGACATCACAGCTTTCCCAGATTGGGAGGAAAAATATGGAATGTGTTTTACCGCTGACTGAACACAACCGAATGAACTGTACTGACAGTAGTTTGAAAACCAGCAGTTAGCAGTTTGTTCAGGCTCTAACATTGTCCAGCACTTTCCAGAGCAAACTCACTGTTTACAAGAACTCTCGGCCTTACGACGTTTATAACCTCAAGCTTCGTTTATTTAAAATATTTCTGCGAAAGAAAAGTACCCAGAGCCCACTTTCCAAAATGGCCATGGATGAGTATTTGTGGATGGTCATTTTAGGTTTTATCATAGCTTTTATATTGGCATTTTCTGTTGGTGCAAATGATGTTGCCAATTCATTCGGTACTGCTGTGGGCTCTGGCGTAGTGACCTTGAAGCAGGCGTGCATTTTGGCTTCAATATTTGAAACCACGGGCTCGGTGTTATTGGGAGCCAAAGTAGGAGAGACCATTCGAAAAGGTATAATTGATGTGAACCTCTACAACGAGACAGTAGAAACACTAATGGCTGGGGAAGTTAGTGCAATGGTCGGTAAGTAACCTGATTCTTTATACCTGTGGGAAGTGTGTCCACTGACCTTCTCTATAGTGCTCTTGTCATATCCATAAATGTGTTTTTTTCTTTAACTTTGCAAAAACTGGTTTGATGTTGTATAATTGCTGTTGTCTTATTTTTGCTTTCTGCATTTTAATTTGATTGGTTTTTTTAGTGTTCAAATATTAAGCAAACACATTTTCTTAAATGGTTGTTAAAATAGATTCAGCTGAGTACTTTTTATAAAGTACAGGCAAAGATATTTGTAGGACAGCTCTTATTAGAGAAATAGTGAGCATATCTAAGAAAATGTCTGTGAAAGATTTAAGAGATTTTCTTTAAGGTTTATTTCTGTTTTTTTTGTGGATTTTTTAATATATAAATTAGGATGCAGTTGTTTTTGAAAACTTGGATGCCAATAAAACAATACTTATTAATTTAACTTGTATTCTCAGTTTAAGTTTTAGAGCAGTTACCAAGTAAATCGTGTTTGTGTTTCAAGAAATTCTGGTCTGCTACCCTGTTTCCCCGAAAATAAGACAGTGTCTTATATTAATTTTTTCTCCCAAAGTTGCGCTAGGTCTTATTTTCGGAGGATGTCTTATTTTCGGGGAAACACGGGTAGTATAGCATTTGTAATCCTCTTGCTGGCTTTTGTTTTGATTTTCTGATTCTCCTTCTGGGTGCTCCATTTGGTATGTTTGTTGTGTTTTCTAATCAAATGGTCATTTGTATACCACTTCTGGGTGGTTTCAGGTTGCCTACATGAGAGAGGAGTGCTGACGGCAGTGCAGTATGTTAATGAGAGATTGGGCTGACAAGTGGGATCTCTCCATTGCCCAAGGTGACCGTAGACCCAAGCACTGTGGGGGCGCTTCCCTCACTGTCCTTGCTTCAGAAAAGGAGACTCAGACAGAGATGCCTGAAGTGCAGCTGACCTGATTCTCTCTGCTTGCCTGGGGGTAGAGATGAAGGCAGACAGCTGATCGGTTCAAGTAATTTGGTTAGGGAGGAGAGGGACAGAGAGGAATTCTACCACCTTCTGCTTTAAACTGGACCTACCTTTTGTACGAAAAGTCCTGCAGTAGGAGGTAAGATGCTGGTGTACCAAGAACGCAGCTCCTTCCTAGTTATGTTTTGTCACTGGCATTGTTTAAGCACCCAGGATGTGGAAGTGATTTGCCAAATTTAAGATAACCCATCATCTTTTTATTATAGCAAGTTAGTCTGAGTTGTTGAGGCACTTGATCTGAAGCAGGCCAATGTACTAAGAAATTAAATGTGACTAAGCGTGGTGGGCTGGTAACTTACGCTAAGGAGTGCCTATGTCTCCACTGAACATTTTGTGTTTTAAAGATGTAAGGCTCACGATTGCTTTAATTCCAACAGCTCTTGTAATGATTGAATCTTACTTAACTTCAGTGAGCATATGTTTTTATTAAAGTCAGATATAATTGAAATTTCTCATAGAAAAATAAGTTACTTGTAAAATTCACCCTTCTATAGCTGTGATAGATGTCCAAGACATAATCATATTGACCTGAAATTAAGCTTTTTTTTTTTCAGTCGGGATGTTGTGGGCAAGATATGTTGAAAGTAGGGAAGAAATAAAGAAAAACACGGATAGAATTAAATATTTACAGAAATTTCTCCTTTCATTGGATGAAACTTGAAGAATTGTGTGCTTATTAAAGACTTGTCAGTGAGGCCACACTGAGCCTCAGAGTGACAGAAAGTCTCGGGAATGGAGCTCATGCCATCGCTGGCTTGCTTTTCTGTGTGGGCAGTAGTTTTCCCACCCCTGGCTCTTTACTGAAAGAATGAAGAATACTTACCCCAACTAGAATTTAGGTTAACCAGAGCAATTTGGGGTTTTGCTTGAATAACTTGGGTTTTGTTTGGTTTCTTTCTTCTTTCTTTCCTTCCCAAACCGCCCCCCCCCCCTCTCTCTCTTCTTTCCTCTCTCCCTTTCTTCTTTCCTCCTTCCTTCCCTCCCTCCCTTTCTTCCTTCCTTCTTGTTCTCCTCCTCCTCCTCCTCCCCTTCTTTCTCCTTCATCTCTTTCTTTTAGTCCAGTGGTTGGCAAACCCATTAGTCAACAGAGCCAACTATCAACAGTTCAATGATTAAAATTTCTTTTGAGAGCCAAATTTTTTAAACTTAAACTATATAGGTTGGTACATTGTTATTAACTTAATTAGGGTACTCCTAAGCTGGCTTTGCTAAAAACTCAAGTGCCAAAGAGCTGCATGTGGCTAGCAAGCCGTGGTTTGCCAACCACTGACCTAATCCTCCTCTTCCCTCTCTCTCCCCTTCCCCCTCTTCCTTCTTTTTTGTATGGTTACATGCATCTCAAAGCCCATTTTGTTGGGAATTTATATGGGTTACCTAGATTTTCAAAATTGGTTTCCTTACAAATGGGAGCTATGTAAATTTAAAATGAAGGTATAATTATTACTGACCAAAATCAAAGCTGATTCTCTTCAGATGCCTGATTCTCTCAATCTTCCTTTTCTACATTCTATATCCATCTCTCTCTCCCTTGCTTCCCCTGTCCTTTTATTCTGTTCTATTTGTTTTCTTCTCTTTAAGAAAGTTCTCCCGAAGCCCATGGCTCTCTGCTTTCTGATAAAGTTGTGGTGGTGTTAGTTGGTTGGGTGGAAGAAATGGTTAGTGCTAGCTAAACTTCTTGAACAAGTTATCTTTTGGGACTCTAGCTTAATACTAAAGCAGTAGTGAATCCACTTAATGTGAAACCATCAATGGTTTCAAAAATCTGAGAACCCAAAACCTACCACCTTGCCATAGAAATGCCCACACCTGCATGAAGAAGCCATCTCCTTGAAGCACACTAACAAGTGCATACTCCCCATGAGACTCCCTCCCTGCCCATAACCACTGAGCCTTCCCCCTGCCCGCACTCACTCGTACCTGCCTGCCTGTTTGCCTCCATGGCAACCCTGAACCTCGGCTCTGCCCTTCTTCCATCTTCCCAGGAACCTATTGCCTCAATGATGCCCGTTTGCACCCCTGCCCACCCCCAGCCAACATTTGCTAGGCTTTGTCTTATGCTTGCATCCTGTATTTAACCCCTTTCATTTTTGTAGGCTAACACATATTTTTCTAGGTTAAAATATGTTTCTCTTTCTTACTGTTTTTCTTAACACAAATGTAATCCTACATGCCTTCAGAAATTCTTGGGGTTAGGGAGGCCTCTCACTCTCTCACTTTGCAAGGTCCCTACAAATACCTGCCTTTTTCCCCCCTCCTCTCAGCTGCTCCTTCACTCTTCCCACTGGCCTTCTGAGTCTTTCCTTCTTCCTTCTCAGGCAGCTCATTCTCCCTACCTTTCCTTACAAACCATCCTGCTCCAGGATCTACATTATAAAGTTAGCCAGAGAGAGGATAGCCGCTTTCCAGGAAGGGAAAAAAATCTCATGGTCTCGATCATATGGATGACTTTATACCATGCTCTTAACATCACTAAATTATTTAAATTTTGGTAAAGAAATCATCGAAATCACGAAGTCTGCATTTTAAGTTATGATTCTATGCTGTGAAACATGCTCCAAACTCTGGCTTTATTTTTAAAACAACTATGTAGTCCCTGCAGAACTCGGGGCTTAGCTGTGAGGGCTTAAGGAATTATTCACCGGGAAGCCTGGGTGCAGCCAGGGAGCCCTTGTTACCGGGCAGGCAGCACAGGGCTGGCCCTTCTCCTTCCAGCACACGCGTCAGGGACAGGCCCGGGGCCACAGCCCAGGGCAGCTCAAAGGTCAGCATGCCCAGCGCTTGTGGAGCAGTTGTCAGCCTTGCTTCACAAACGACCTGCACAGCCTTTCACGATCCCCCTTAACTCCGATTGTTTTGAAGAAAATGCCAAGGATCTGCTTGAAAGTGCTGCTGCTGCCAAGCAACCAGATTTCCAGAATTAACATTTGGGATTAATAACGGGCCTGCTTATCCGCCAAGCTCTTGTCCCCTTCAGCTCTATATGAACTTTTCAACAATTGTGTCTGAGAGTGATCCCTCCCAGCTGATGCTTTTAATACTCACTGCAAAACCTGATCTGCTTATGAAAATATCTGAACCATAGCCTAGAAAAGCATTAAGCCTGAAAACGAGTGGTGAAATTGAGGTAAAAGGACATAAAGCCAAACGAAGGGATCCTCTTAACTCCCAAGAAGTAGAAGACGTGAGAACGTGTAAGGAAAAGCTCCATCATTCCGGGCAGGGGCTGAGAGGAGAGGCCCAACTTCGGGTTAAATATCATAGCTCCTTCTCACATGAGAGGCAAGAATGAAAAAGCAACGTGGTGGTACACACTCTCGTGTACAGATAATACGACAGCCGATATTTAACCCTCATTATGTGACTACGAGGCCTAACTATGGTGAAATCCTTTCTCGTGTGCAACCTTTCTCGTTTCTCTGTTTATTCAAGTCCTCAATCTCTTGTTTGGTCTTGGCCACACTTCACATCAGAGCAAGTTCATTATCAGCTCTCTTACCTAAATGTGACAAGGGCAGTTAGTAACCGGCATTAAGAGACTTTTCTTTAAATAAATGATCATTTTCCCTCCAGGGTTGAAGACTTCTTTGACTCAAGTTAATTGGGTAATTTTGTCAGGATACTAGTGCTTTGTAAAGGAGCCACCACAGAAAATGAACCCCATGGGTGTTGCTGTGGAGAACAGTAATTTATATTTCTTTCTTTTGTGGCTGTTGGAGATGCTGTACCTCAAGCATGTCAAACTCAAAGGCTAACACGGGCCAAATAAACAAAGATTAAGTTTTTGTGGGTCGCAAAAAAACAAAAGTTTTAATTTTCATTGAAACATAGGTTTATTTAGAAAAGCATAGTATAAAATAGAAGAAGAGCAATGATAAAATTAATGTTTTCTTACATACCATTATATTGGCTGGGCTGCAAAAATATTCCTTGTGGGCTGCATGCGGCCCGAGGGCCGTGAGTTTGACATGCTTGCTATACCTTATACCTGACTTTTTTCTTTTTTTAAATCTTCCCACTTCTAGGTTCAGCTGTTTGGCAACTGATCGCATCCTTCCTGAGACTTCCCATCTCAGGAACTCATTGCATTGTTGGTGCAACTATAGGATTCTCACTTGTTGCGATTGGCACCAAAGGTGTACAGTGGATGGAGCTGGTCAAGATTGGTAATTGCCATTTTCTTTTACGTATAAGAAGGAAAGTTTACATTCTCTAGAGTAAGTTTTATTAAAAGATGCAATTATAATATATTTTTCCTTCAAATGTTAAGGTTTAGAAGATCTATATGGGTAAAATAATTTTCCTTAAAATTCTGTATTTTGAATTGTTAGGTGTTTGAGATTTTTTTTTTTTTTTTGCCTTCAAACACTCCTTGAAATGTTACATTGTCCTCCAGCTTTGAAAAAAATCAATATTTATCTGTTATTTCCAAGCAGAAAAGAAATTTATCTCATTGAAATCAGTCTGTAGTCAGAGAAAAATTAGGTCCTAATGAGGAAAGTACCCTTAGTGTCTAGGAGTCGGAGTTCATGGTCATGGGGAAGCCTTGAAATGAGCCCCATGTTGTTGACCTCACTACAGTTAAGAAATCGCCCAGTCTGCCTGTACAGAGGAGGCGCTCCAGTGTTCCGGGCTGTAAGCTGCTCAGCAGGTCTGTTTTAAGAGGTTTGGCAGCTTGTTTCCTGGCCGTGGCTCTTTGCAAGAGGGAAATCCATTCAGCCCCATAAGCACCAACCCGCCTGTTGTAAGAAATGCCCTCTCCCCATCTCCATCCTCTGGGTTGCTGTCCTTTTAAGAATCACAGTGACTTTGGGAGCTCTAGGTTGGGTCCCAAGCAGGGACTCAGATAGCCAGGAAAATCACTTTAGATCCCAGGCTCCTAGAACCATGGTTCTCAACGCTTCTGCCCACTGGAATTATCTGGGGGAGCAGATTTAAAATATCAGTGCCCAGGCCCCATTCCAAACGTTTTAAATCAGAATTCTGGGGGTGGAGCCAGAGTGTAACTAGTTCTGAAAACTCCCCACATATTTCTTCTGTGCAGCCAGAGTTGGGAACTACTGTCAGGATGACAGGCTCAGGCTGGAGGTGGAAAGTGAAATGGAAGGTGGCCCACTTTTCAAAGCACCTTTATGTTGGAACAAGGCCCAGGTCTCCTTGTGGATTGATGAGAACAGCAGGCAGAAGGGGCTCGTTAGGAATCAAGTTTATCTTTGTGGGACCGTTCCTGTGTCTGTGCAGAGCTGTGCATGGGTGCATGTAAGCTTTGCCAGGGCAGGGCTTGTTGGGGTTGAATTAAGATGAGTGATTCCAGGAATATTTATTATTATTATTTAAATATTTGTTATATTTATATTTGTTATATTTGTATTGTATTTGTTATAATTGTATTATATAAATATGTCTTGAATTACGTAGAATTTCAGCATTCACTACACTTTTTTTTAAATTATTCAGTGGCTTCTTGGTTTATATCTCCACTATTGTCTGGCTTCATGTCTGGCGTGCTGTTTGTACTGATCAGAATTTTCATCTTAAAAAAGGTAAGTGAGGCTGGTTTCTAAAAATCAAGTTTGAGAACTAATTTTGGCTCTACTCAATAGAAATTAATTGTGAGAGGAGGCAGAGAAATACTTGTATTTTTACATTTTTAAGGCACTGCACCTGGGAGTTAGAATCAGACTTTACTATAAAATAGGAGGAAAGATTCAAGGCAGAGTACCCGGGGGTGAGGGGAACCCCTGAACCCAGCATTGCAAATACTCTTTCTCGCCCTGTGATTGTGTTCATGAGTTGACAGTCCCAGGCATTGTGCTTGGACCTCAAAAAGGAAAGGTAATTATTTCCTGAATGTGAAGCAGAATAGTGACATAGTGTTGGATTTTGAAATTGACTATTACTAAAAACAGCTGGAGAATTCCTTTTCCCAAATGTAAGGTATTTTCTTTCTTTCTCTTTGTTTTAATGAAGAAAGCAAGCTTGAGACACTGACTTTTTCCTCAACTCAAAAGGATAAAAAGAAGGAAATACATCTATTGGGAGGGCAGGTTATCGAAAATAAAATGAGATTAAAATGAAAACTTACTGAGATTAGCGTTCTAGAAAAAAATGGGTTGCATTTTTTATCTGACTGACTAGAGATTGGTGCGGTGTTTTGTCAGCCATAAGGCAGCCTGGATCATTGGGTCACACAGGCTGGGCACATCAGGACATACCTTCCTTCAGCTGTGCTCTTGCTTAAAGATGCACGGGGTTGCCTTGGTAGTCCGCTGAAGTGCTCATTCTCTTGGATAAGTACAAACTTACCATTCCTTCTCCTGGGTGCCCGCCATACTAATATTGGTTTACATCTTGGAAGGCGCCAGCCCTCCTGCCTGCTAACCTTCACCTTTTGTATGTCCTTTGCCTGGAATCCATCCCTTCCTGGAAAACTCTTGCTCCTACTTAACTTCCAGGTGTCACTTCCTGGAAGCCTTCCCTCTCCCACCCCAAGTTCCGCTTGGTTCCTCTCTTTTATATCCACGGCACTCTGCACCTGCTATCATTGCACTCTCGTGGTGTATGGTGTTTTATTTCCTGCTTAGTGGTCTGTTTGCTATTTTTCTATAATTTCTGTGAGAGTAGAATCATAACTGTCTCCTTAACTTAGTTTGGGTGGGTGGCAGCAGATGGTTGGATGAATGGATGGGAAGAAGGAAGGAAGAAAGGAGAGGGGGAGGAGGAGGAAAAGAGACAGGTTGCAATGAGACAGTTGTCATTTGAGTTACAAGAGTAGATTATTTGAGAAAACACAACATGATTTATTGAACTCAGGACTTACACACCTTCAGAAGTTATTGGTTGGGCATCTTTCTTTAGCATCCCTTGGCCCCTGGAAAACAGCATTTTGGAAAACAGAGGCAGTAGGCATTTGAGCATCCCAGTGTTAGTTTTCTATACAGCCAGGGCTCTTTAAGATGAGATGACTGCTGTGCCTCTTGCCCCAGCTCCTGCCCATTGGTTCTTCATGTTTGCTGTTCTTTATCTGCTCTTCCTGATCTGCCCGTGACTCTCATGCAGTTGAATCATCTCCTACCCCTGCTCTTACTGTTCCTTACACCTCAGTGCTATCAACTCAAGCCACTCGACAAATGCTGGTGGCTGCTTGGGATATTCCAGAATAGGTTCTTGATGAGGTGTACTGTTCTGCAAACCTACTGATTCCTATACGTGTTTGCATTTGACAGTGGAAATCTTAGAGATGGTCTCTACTTCTCCTCATTCTGTAGCTCACATCAATGTTTAGGTCTAATCTTCCTTTTATTGTGGGAAGATAGCATATTCATATTAAGTATGAATATCTTACATGGTTATTAGAAGTCATTTTTTAAATTATTCAGGCAACATCTATGTGCCAGTGCTATGTTGAGGAGTTCTCAGTCTGCATTTTTGTTCCAAAATCCTCTGTATATCTGCTTAAAACTCTGAATTTCTAATATTCTCTGAGATGTTATTTAGCCTAAAACATGTGCTGTACCTTACTTGTGAAGTAATAGTTTTAGGGAGTGTTGTACCAGAACCCTAACATTGTAAATACATGTTTTATTAGATAAAGAACCCACAGTTTTTGTGTACTGTTTATTTATTTGTTTTAATATATTATTGATTTCAGAAAAGAAGGGAGAGGGAGAGAGAGATGGAAACATCAATGATCAGAGAGAATCATTGATTGGCTACCTCTTGCACACCTCCCACTGGAATCGAGCCCATAACCCGGGCATGTACCCTTGACCAGAATTGAACCCAGGACTTTTTAGTTTGCAGGCCAATGGTCTATTCACTGAGCAAAACTGGCTAGGGCCAGTTTTTTAACTTTTAATAATTGAAGCATAAATACTGTGCCTTATAAGAAGTTTTAAAAAACCATGGCACATGGCAATTTGCTTTCCACATTTCGATAGAGCTGAAATGCGTTGTGTAATAGAGTGACATAAAATCTATAGCAATGCCTTGGCATTCAAGTTACTTGGCTTTTATCAGACATTCTTAAGGAGCCGAGCCTCAGAGTATTTGTTAAAAGTAGGGTTTTTTTTTTTTTAGCACCAACCTGAACTTAGAGTAGTATGTCACAGATTTTGAAGTAGATGCCAATCTCTGCACTTCGGTCCCAGAAATGGACCTAACCTGACAGTTTCTCTGTCTCTAAAGCTGACATCAGCTCATTTGATCCTAGTGCTCTGAAGTGTCTGCTGGGCACACTTGTGGGCTCTCTGAAATGGCATTTGTGTGGGAGAGAGGCCCAAGCCACTGCGGTCCTGTGAAGCAGGTCACCTGGCAGTGCCATGCCAGCAGAGTTTGGGAGGATTTTCGTGTAGCAGTGTGTTAGACCCTGTTGCCTGCGTTGGCTCCAGGTGCTTCTTGAGTCCTGACCTTTCACTTTGTCTCATTATCACGCAGGAGGACCCTGTTCCCAATGGCCTCCGGGCCCTGCCAGTGTTCTATGCTGCTACGATAGCAATAAATGTGTTTTCCATCATGTACACGGGAGCACCAGGTAAGAATTCCTTGGGCTTACATCCAGGCAGGGCGTTACCATCTGATGGTTGGTGTGCTGGGTGCTGGCATGATTGTGGGTGACAGTGGAAAGCAGCACTCGTGGTCATTATGGAACCGTAAAAAGAGCAGCAAATGCATTTACTAGTCTTAAATACTCAAGAGATAAGTGAAATGCAAAGGCATCAGACTTTCAAGTTTAAAAAAAGAAAATTGCAATTCCTATTCTGCTGCTTACCCAGCTCTGTTGCCTTAGTGGCTTCTCGCACCTTCTGAGTCTCAGAATGGGATCTAACTCCTCACACCTCCCTGAGCCGGGGAGGGGTGGGGAGCACATGTGAGAGTGTCCACACATTGGTGACACACCAGAGGACAGGCCAGTGTGGTCGAGAGCACAAATACCAAACTCGCTGGAAATTGTCAGACAAATGAGTCCAGCAACTGTTGTTTCTTAGATACTAAAACCAATGGTGATCTTCTTTTCAAAATTACTCCTTTTCTTCTGATCCCGACAGCTTTTGTTCTCCTTTACAAGGGTTTGGGGTTTGGGAGAGCAGGGTTAAAAGTCCTGTTCTTTTCCATTTTCAAAGGATAAAAAAAAAAATTATGTATATTATTCTCATTTGCCCACATTTCAATGTGGGTGGACTGGTAACATTCTAAGTCAGTATTTCCGTACATGTTGTGGTAGAGAGGATGCCTCCTGGTTCTCTGGGAGGTGCCCTCCTACAGCCAGAACCTGAATAAGCCCATTGTGTGGGGAGATTGGGAGTCAGTAGATATGTTCGTTTGTGTTGTTGTTCTTGTTTATGTCTTTGATGGAGTAAGACTCAGTTATTGGCCATATCTGACAAAAGTCTTCCTCTCTAATCAAAAGATACAGTTTCTCGAAACAGCACGTCAGATTACAGTAGAAAAATACCCTCATCCAAAATGGGAGGAAACCCTTGTGAATTTCTCAACTTGGGCTTTCTTACAGCAGTTTTACTCAGATTTAAATAGCCATCTGTGCCCTAACTGGTTTGGCTCAGTGGATAGAGCATTTGCCTGCAGACCCCAGGGTCCCAGGTTTGGTTCCCGTCAAGGGCATGTACCTTGGTTGTGAACACATCCCCAGTGGGAGGGTGTGCAGGAGGCAGCTGATCGATGTTTCTCTCTCATCAATGTTTTTAACGCTATCCCTCTCCCTTCCTCTCTGTAAAAAATCAATAAAATGTATTTTTTAAAAAAATAAAATAAAAAAATAAATAGCCATCTGTAATTATATGCTGTGCACGTCAGTGCCAGTAATAAAACACTTTCTGAATGGTCCCTTAGTGTTAGATGGCTACTTTGGCATCTCTGCAGCGTTGGAAACGTCGATCATTACTGTCTGAACACTTGTGATCAGGACTTCAGGCTCTGGGTGGCAGCCTGGCTGGAGGCCCCACAGCTGCTTTAAGTTACCGAGAAGCCCACAGCTGAAGGTCATGGCGGTTGGAGAGATGAAACCCTAGCCTCAGATAACAGCGGCCTGATGGCCCTTCGGGTTTTGTAACTCATGGACTATGGCGTGTGTTTGGCAGGCAGTTTTCCTGATGTATAAAAGAGAATCCAAGGCAGAGGAAAAAAACAGTGCTGGGCAGGCCTGGAGCCCGGGTAGGGAGTGAACCGTGGCAGAGGGATTCTTTGTCCATCTTCTCGCTCCTGGGTCCTCATTGTTAACTTTGTTTAGGCTCTTAGAGTTCAAGTAGCTGAACCAAAAGCTGGGCAACTGTCAACAGCCAGACACCTGTGGCCTAGTGACTGAAGACTGAGCCACGTGAAGGCCGGGATGTCTTTGTAGTGCCCAGCCCTGGAAATGGGAATAGGTTCAAATAAGGACAATTTTTTTTGTTTTATTTTCCCACCCTCTCTTCTTGCTCCCCAGTTCTTCCAAATGTCAGAAGAAGTCAACTCTATAATTTTTTTTAAATTAAAATTTGACTTTTTTAAACTTTGCATATTTTTCCCATCTCTACTTTTTCTTTTCCTCATCTGCTGCCATCTCTACTTTTTCTTTTCCTCATCTGCTGCCTCACCTTTACTGCAACTTTGCTAAAAGAATCATCTTACTGGGAGACTTAATTTATTCTAGAGAAAATTAAACTACATAATGGATAAGACAGTAAAGATTATATAAATACTACAAAAAGAGGTTGTGAGAAATAAATACTATAAATGCGAACTTATATTGAGCTTACTTTTACATGAATTCATCTTTTTAGTCATCCACACTCCTTTAGAAAATTGGTAATATTGCTTTGCTGGCTTTACTTTACTAATGGGAAACGGAGGCACAGCAATACTGGGTACTCAAGGTCATGTAATAGTGAGGTGCAGAACCAAAATCTGAAGCAGACAGTCTAGGCCCGAGCCATGGGCTCTTTATTATGACATTCCTAGAAAACAGGTATAGAAAATTCATTTAAATTTAAAGAATCAAACACTCGACTTCTGACATTGGTAACTGGCCTGGGGAAGATACCTAGCGCATAGTACCTGTCACCTCCTGTCACCATGAAGGACAGTCAAAATACATCAGCCTTAATACATTCTTTCCCTTCCCATCACTCTCTTTAAAAATGGCTGCCAGCCCTGGTTGGTTTGGCTTTGTGGATAGAGCATTGGCCTGCAGACTGAAGAGTCCCGGTTTAATTCCAGTCAAGGAAATTGCAGGCTTGATTCCCAGCTGGGTTGTATGCAGGAGGCAGCTGATCAATAATTCTTTCTCATTATTGATGTTTCTCTCTCTCATTTCCTCTTAGGGGGGAAAAAAAATGGCTTCCAGTATATTTTGAAACTTGTATATTTAATAAAAGGAGGTATAAAGAAGGTGGTTTCCTCTTTAATTAAGAATATTTAAGCTGAAACCAGTTTGGCTCAGTGGATAGAGTGTCAGCCTGCGGACTGAAAGGTCCCAGGTTCGATTCCAGTCAAGGGCATGTACTTTGGTTGCTGGCACATCCCCAGTAGGGGGTGTGTAAGAGGCAGCTGATCCATGTTTCTCTCTCATCGATGCTTCTAACTCTCTATCTCTCCCCCTTCCTCTCTGTAAAAATCAATAAAATATTTTTAAAAGGATATTTAAAAAATATATACAAGTAGCTTGAAGATCATTATCCAATTGAAAGCACAAACAATATTCTGAGTGGAGAGTTAATGTTAAGTTCTTGTTTGGATGCTGTCAAGAACATATTTCCATCCTGGCCAATATGGGGCAATGATTAGAGTGTTGGCCCGTGCACTAAAGGGTCTTGGGGTCAATTCCCAGTCAAGGACACATACCTGCGGGTTCCCTCCCCGGTCGGGACGAGTGCAGGAGGCAACCAGTCAGCGATGTGTCTCTCTCACATCAATCTCTCTTCTCTCTTGCCTTCTCTCTCCCTTCTCTCCCTCCCTTCCCTTCTCTCTGAAATGCAAAGGAAAAAATATCCTTAGGTGAGGATTAACAAAAAAACAAACAAAAAAGAACATCCTATTTCCTGACCGTCTCATAAAGTAAGGACGTCTGTAGGACTCCGTGAAAGGGACGCTGTGTTTCAGGAGATAATGCGAACAGGACACTTAGTGCAGCGCTTGGCACATCATAACTCTTCATACGTGTTAGGGCTTAGTTTATTACATCAATGTTAAGTAGCCTTATCTTTTCAGCCTTAAGTTGCCAACATATCCTGAGTCATCCTGTCTTTCTATTTTTCCCACACTTACTGGTGTAACATACTTCCTTCTTAACGTTTGGGGCGCTCGCCCAGAGGAGGAGGAAGAAGGGGGTCACGTCTGAGGGACCCACCATGTTGTTCCTCCACTAAAGTCAGAAAAGGACTTTACAAATATTTTGTTTTGTGGGGCATGTTTCTAAAATCTCCTGTAGGTGAGTTTAAATCCTATTTTTATTTAAACATTGAAAGTTGACTTCTGCCCTTCAGACGAGACTTGAATTACGCACTGTTTCTGCATGTGGGGCCTCTCCGCCTGGCCAGCTGTGCCATAAATAGCCGGGTTGTTGTGTGTGGTGACGAGGCTGAGCTGAGAGTCACTTCAGCATTGACTTGATCAGTCTGCTCCTTGCAGAGTAATGTCTGTCTTTCTGCCATGCTGGGGGTGATTCCTCGGGGGCCCCTTTCTTCCCTAGAACACTCCAGAGGGGCCTCAGAGAGGAAAGGAAAGAAGGAAGCTTTCCAACAAACAAGAGTGCCTGCATTAATCCTACCCCAGTCCGCTTGAAGGGATTTGGTGATGAATAGCATTTTTGTGCCTGGAGATGGATTGCATGGGATTGGCTGGATGTTGGGTTACCGTGTTTTATTTTGATTTCCTCTGTTCCTCCATTCGTAAGTTATGTTGAAGTTGTTTATGTCTTTGACTTAGTTTGATTTGTTTTACTTTGCATTTGACATGACTTTTCTCAAATAAACGTCAGTCTTACACTTCAAAGACCAAGGGAGCACCTTCAAAAATTGCCTTCGCATGTTTTTGTCCTTTAAAAAATAATTTGCAAGAAGCAGAAATAGCTTTAGGAAACAAAGTGCTCACTTGGGTTGGATGCAAGCCTGAAGTCTATTTTTAATGAGAAAGACCTCAGTTGTATGGGGCCTGGTTTTTGTTCGGTGTCCAAAGAATGAATGGTGAAATTCATTGCATGCCTCTCTGAGTAGTGCAGGCAGCTCTCCTAACCAAGCATCCAGCAGTTACACATTACGCAAAACTTCTAAGTCAGACCAACAGCACCAGCTTCTCACGGTAACCTGTCAGAATGCAGGTTCTCAGGCCCTGCCCCAGACCCACTACAGCCTGACAGTCTGTGTGGTACCAGAATCTGGGTGATCTTGTACACGATACACATAGAGAACCACTGCTGTAGTCATTCTTCACCAAAATCTTCTACCACAAACACTGCTCCCTTATCACAGCTCTGATGCAAGAGGTACTACTCAAAGTTCTCACTAGCAATGTTTGCTCGCTCTGTTTGCCAGCAAATGA